TTTTGGATTTCCAACTGTTTATGTAGACACTAAGTAATATTTTGAGATTAAATTCTATTAACATCCTAACAACATTGAATTATTAGTGTTAGAATTACTGAAGTTGTGTAGTGCCAAATTGAATGCCCAAAAGGTTGAGACTGTATTCATGTCTCTTCTGTTCTTATTATTTTCTTCTCCCAGTCTCTTTTCCCAAACTCTGTGACCATCAGTTACCCACTTCACAAATGTTTCCCAGAGATTAGCTTCTCGCCCAGTTTTCCTCAGAAAGACACACAAAATGGAAAAATCCATTCCAAAAATCAATTCTTGCCAATGGATCACCCAGAAAAACATGGGGCAGGAGACCTGCACTTATAAAAGTTTAGAGCCTCACTGCATTAAAATGAAAGTTGGACGACATGATGAAGGAAGTGAGGAAATTGCAAAGGTGACCAGAGTTAGAACAGCTAGGGGTGTGTAGGAATGATGGTTGGACAGGGCGAATTGGACAAGAAATCAAGACATTTGTACTTAAGTGTGAGGATTTTGAATCCACTTGATTGGGGAATAGAGGCTTGTGATAAATGTTAGTAAGCGGTAGGCTGTGAGCATTGGAGTTTTAGAAGCAATATAGCTCATGTGAGATAAAACTTAGAGTTTGATTTATTGTTGTTACACGTACTGAGAGATACAGTGAAAAGAGTTTTGCATGCTATACAGGTAGATTGTATTGTACAAAGCGCATCAGGGTAGCAGAACAGAGTGCAGAATACTGTGTTACAACTGCAAAGAGAAAGAGATCAATAACATCTGAGAGGTCCATTCAAAAGTCTGATTACAGCGGGAAGGAAGCTGTTCTTGAATCTGTCCTGAAATGTATTCAAACTTTTATATCTTCTGCCTGATGGAAGAGGGCGGAAGAGAGTATAACCGGGATGGAAGGGGTCTTTGATTATGTTGGTTGCCTTCCCAAGGCAGCAGGAAGTATAGATGGAAGACTGTTTTGCATGAGGGACTGGGCTGTGTTCCTATACAACACGATGATGCATCCAGATAGGATGCTTTCTATGGTTCATCTATAAAAATTGGTAAGAGTCTATTAGATGTATGAACCTGTAAGATGATGAAAGCTTGGAAGACGGTTTCAGTGGCTGGGATGTTAAGGGATGGATAGAAACATAGTGTTGAAGAGAAGGTATGAGGATAAAGATATACTTCGAACTTATCAAGGCTAGAAATATTACATTTGGATCATTTTTATGGATTACTGTTGCTGTACATGAGTGATTCCATGGCAACTCCTTTAGATTCCAAAGCTTCATTTCTGTCACTCTTGCCTGTAACTTTATTAACCTGTTAAAAAATAAATTACATCCATAAAATTAGCACTTCCTGGTTCCGGTGTTCTACAGCCCTGTTATATTTCAGCTAAGCAAAGTCAGTCTAATTACCCCGCCACCAGTGTGTTTGTGAAGAAGATTCTCACCTCATCACTGCCTAATGTTCATAGGCTAAAGCTAAATTCTTCCAGCAGCAGTCTGTAATTCATTGCAAAAACACACTTGCAGTCATTTCCAAGTATTATTTTCTGTAAATGACTGTAGTTAAATGTATAAGTATTAAAAGAAAGGCTGAAGAAAAACCACGAGGCTCACAACTGCTGGATAGACTGATGTAACCTCATTGTATTGCCTTCCACAAATGGATGTAATGCTAATTACTAGGAAAGCCAAAAGCATATGGCCAGTTACAGGAAAACACAGGGTCATTGAAAATAATTCTCGACTGTAATTCTCAAACATGGTGAATCAGCCAGATAACGCAAAATATTCTACTTTATGGAACATTATATTCATCAGCTCTTAGCAAATAAATATAGACAGACTGCGGTGGCCTAATGCTGTTGTTTGAAATCTGTGGATGGAGATTAATCTAGCCTGTTGTGGTGGGAAGCATAGCAATCATGCATACTTAATCATGGGAGAGGCTGCACATCAGTCTCCTGGAAATAGCAAAAATCTTCCATGATGAAATCTGAGGTGAAAAAGGACCCATATAAGAGACTCGCCCACTTTGATGTCCTTTGGCTCATTAAAGAAACAATAAATCCTGAATCCAGTGGAATTTAGTTGTGGCACAATAAATCCTGAATCCAGTGGAATTTAGTTGTGGCTCAGGGATTAGATGGGAGTCACCCAGCTCTCCCATGGCTCCCAAAGAGTACCCTTCAAATCCTATTGGGTTGCCAGGCACTGTGCACCCATTGAAGAGACCTAGCAAGCGAAGAGGGCAAACCGCTAAACTGTGTGACCATCACCCCACCCTCTTACCCAAGTCCAAGATTCAGCGACGGATTCCTGCTGAAGCTCTTGCAGCATTACAAACAGTGAGGTGGCACTGCTGAGAGTGGAGAGCATCTGGCCTATAATTCACCAGCAGCTATTTGAGATATCTGCCACCAGGGTCCAAAATTATGGGGACGGCTTGACACTGCCAATTAAGAACTGAGAAGAACTTAATTGAGCCCCCCACCACAGGAATGATCGGGTTTTCCACCACTTCTCTGACTAGTAGATGGGACCTGCTTTGGGAACATTAAATTTCTCCACTGAACCTACTGAATGCATTAAATGGCACAGAAATCCCAAGGGTTTATGGAGTGATGTACTCAGTATCGTCTTTGGAATTGTTGGGTGGTCATTAGAAAGACTAAAGAAGTTGCATCTGAAAAATGCTATCTAATCGGTTTCTTCATAGGGTTATAAATGCAAGTACCAAAGTAAAACCCTTTATTCATTGTCACCTCACATTTTCAGAAGGTCAGTACAGAGGCAAGGATATTATAATGCTAATGAGAATAACACTATTAAAAATGCCTGTTTGTCCCTGGTCTTTATTATTAACTGAAGTTTAGTTCTCTTTCGATTCACTCTGTCACTTGACAGCAGTCTGTTGTTAAGGGTCTTACACTGGGAAATGTTTTGCTAATTCTAAACTTGAAATGCTTATTCAAGATACTTTCAGAATAAAAGCAACAAAATACTTGGCAGAAACAATTAGTTGCAACTGAAATTTCAAACATTAAACAATCAGAATACCAAAGTTGATGAAACACTTTGATGTGATAGAAATTTCTACTTGCCAACCATTTTTTGCTTTTATCTGATGCCAGTTATGGCAGGCTATGTTTCAGCGCAGAATCAAGCCAAGCATCATAATCAAAAAAACAAGTATAGGATAATTTTTCAGAAAATGCTTCGCATTCACTTTTTAAAAAAAATTATTCGTAACATTTTCATTCTTAAATAATTTATATGGGCTAGAGCTTGCTCAGAAAATAGGTGTGCGTTAAAGTCGCATACTTTTGTTACTGTGTAAATTCAGCAAATTCGAGGCAAGGGGAGATCCTGCCATAAGTTGCAAATCTCCAGAACTGATCACTTTACACTGCTATTCCATTTACTTCGTATGATGGGTATTTCCCCCCACCGAGTCATTTTACAGAACAAGCTGGATTTGCTTGATAATTGTTCAATAATATGAAGTTAATAATAACAAAGTTATTACATGGTAACTGAGGATGTAAGTAAGTTTTTGATGCTGTGGCAAATGTTGGAATGACCAGCTTGGAAATAGAATTACTCATTCACTAATTCATTGTTCAAGATTTTAAAAGTGTCTACATGTTAAAATTGTACCTTTGTTTCTTTATTCGCTTCCTTAAGACAAATGTTTGTGCCCTCACTTTATTTCTCTCTCTCTACCTAATTTTACATTAACTTACCCCCTTCATTTTCCTACTTAGTCCCGCCTCTGTTTATTTCTAAATCTCTAAATTGGTCCTGTCATTCATGTAGGTCCTAAATGCTTACTGCTCTTGTCACACCTTTTATCATCTGACACTTCTGGCAAAAAACTTTCACTCTGAAAGGTTCAGGAAAATGTCTGACTAATGACATATGCTCTGAGGTGCCCAGCTTCAGGAGGAGTTTGACATTATTTTTAGACTTTAGTAGAATTCCATCAATTGCCAGTGGCTTATTGAGAATAGTGCAGGACATGGCACCAGTCGATATATCTCAAGGCAATTAAGTCCTAAAATGACTGGTTTTTCTGAATATAAAGTCTATATTGAAAATAATGTTGTTATGCGCCTTTTATTAAGAATCAATTAAAAAGAATGCCTGTGTTTTGTAATTCAAGTTTTGAGTGAATTCGCTCTGCAATTTTCAAATCCTTACTTTTGCTATTGGAAACATTCTTGTTGAATGTGAAACAAAATTGTTTAGAAATGAATTTTAACTTAGTTTTACTTAATTGTGAAATTTATTCTATGCTATTTTTGTAGTTTCCTGTGGCAGACTTTAGTCTATAACTGGTATCGCTGTAGTGTGGTTTTCTTTCAATTTTCGACTGAGTATTTTATATGTAAACACATTGTGGCACTCTGCCTTAATAATCTAATGAATGGAATAAATTTGTGTTGGAATGTCTGAGAGTCCCAGAGATCGACCATAAACTGCTGTTAGATTGAACATTTTAGGCATACTGCATAATTGGGAAAATTTGTTGGCATTGCAATATGTAAACATGAAAAAAAAGTCAAGTGCCACAAACAAGTAGGCAAAAGAAATTAGATGGCTTGGACAGGTGAACATTTGAATGTGATTCATTTGTATTCCCCATCCTTCTGATTTTCCAAATCAACTCATTTGTAATTGTCTTAGTTTCAGGAGACGTTTTGTAATGAATTTTTAGCATCGATGTTCTGTAATCATATAGTGCCTCGGAAAGCAATGTGACATTATATGATATACTACAAAACCTGATCAATGGACATTTTTGTACTGGTTAAGTGTGAATTTTCTAGATGGCAGTGTGCTTTATTGGAAATATGCCATTATGAACATCCATACCCTTATTTCTGAGTCAATTCACCTGTTTATTTAAGAGTATATTACTGTACTGTCACTGATATAATTGTCTTCTGATCTTCTGTTTTCTCTTGTCCTCTACAGAACCTGGGACACAGTCACCTGGTGGTCACTTATTTTCCACTGTTCCTGGCAGTACTCAGGGTATGTAACGCTTTAGGGACATATCTAACAATTGTAGCTTGCAAGGCCTTGGAAGAATTACAGGAGGAAACGAGTAATGAGTCTTGAAACTATGAGCTCATCAAGGTAAGTGATGACAGGTTGAGCAATTCACAATGTCTCTACGTTGCATCAGTCAACATTGCTGGATCAAATATAAATGGCCAACATCTAATCTAAAGTTCCCAGTAGCTACATGATTGATGCACATTACATTCAAATACTGAAGAACAATTTTCTGTTCCTAAAACTTTAACTTGACAGGATTGACAACCGTCTGCTGAATTCATAAGTATGCTACCAATTTATATGCATCGGGATCTGTACTGAGACTGGCTTAGACCATTGTTAATAATTAGGGAAAAGTAAAAAACTAAGATAAAGCATATGAGCAATATATTACCTAACATTCCGAAAATGTTAGGAATATTCAATATTGCACTGCGTTGAGAATATGTTCTTTTCAAAGAAAGGACTACTTTAACCAACTCTCTCAAAGACCACATCAAGTACCGATTTATGTTGAGTCATTAACAATCATATAGCCTTTTATGCTGACTGAACGTGAAATATGTGAATTGTATTGACGGAATAAATACAATGGTTTCAAATAAAGATTGATTGTCAGATTACAAGATTATTCTTATGTTCAAAAATGAAATTTGAATTAAATCTGGCTTTCAGTTGTACATTTGTTGTATAAAATTTGTACATTTGACCCAAAAAATACTTGCTACTAAATTCAACCCTCATGACAATTAGATTAAATGTAAATTCAGAATACTGCATCAATAAAAACATATATCAGATCCTTTCTCTCTGATAGTGTTTTAATAATGTGCCCATTAAATTTCACTGATCTTTGCTGGGGCACCAATGACCTTAACTACCAATTTTTTGTTTTGAATTGATGAAAGATATGCATGATCTCAGCTTGAGGAGAAAAACAATTTTCTCCAATTACTAATGCAGTCCTTTGATATTTTAAGACATTCAGAAAACATAATATGGCTGAAAAGTGATGGAATTAAAAGCTTTATTTTTAAAATGTATGTATATAGTTGCTTGGAATTTGCATCTCATTGCATGCACTTTAACCCAAATATCCTGATGTACAACCATGCTTAGGTATATTTTGCTCAGGTTGCTTGTATGATTGAAGATGCTAATTTTAGTATAGAGTAGTTTTATGCTTTTAGAATTGCACTGAGTTTTTCATTTGAATTGGTGACTGGAAGAACGTATATAGAAATGTGTGTAATAATGCAGGTGTGGACCAATTATAAAGTATAATTTATAATACTGGGAAATAGACATTAAATGTCAGCATTAGTTATGTGTCCTGTAATGCAAGTAGAGGGATGACAAAGGGAAAAATACCTTCATGTAGATCACTGTCTGTGTCCCTTCAGATTGTTATACAAAACCGAGTTAATACAAAAAAAAGAGAAACCTTTATGCTGTCTTTGGTATGACAGGCACCCACAGTAATTTAATATAAAGCCTCAGAGAGAAAGGCACAGTCTGTCAGAGTTTGAAGTAACTTAAAAACAAATAGTAATTTTGGAAAGTTCATTGGCAGCATAGATAATAGTACTTTTGTGTTCTTGCAGAAGTCAGACACATGAATGCCGAACTTGTCGCCAAAATTCTGTCCTTGTGTTAAAGGACAATCAGAGTTAATGCATTGAATAACATGATTGTTTAATTAGAATGGCTGGATGGTTTGTCTGATTCGATTAAAATTTCTGATGTGGAGCTTATGCAGCACGAGCTTACATAATGTGTTATTGCATTGTCAATAAACTGCATTTTGCCCAAAACCTAATCTCAATTTTTGCCTTTCATTTGCATCATCCTCTTGGTTTGCTTTATTACAAAAACAAATCAAGCTACCATCTGTATTCATTTTGAACATTGTAACTAATGCTAAATAACGTTCTAACACTGCAAAATAACACCCAGTTTTTCTGGATATAGTTCCATGACTCAAGGTAATGGCAGAGATGATAATGGTATTACTGGCATGCACAAATTAACATGCAGGCTACAGCATATGGTGGCCTTAAACTGTATTAATTTCTAAATTTTGAAATTTTCAGCTGTCCATGATAGAATCCAGTGCATTGCAATAACAATGTCATGAGGTTGTGCAGGTACCTCAGCTGTTTTTGGTTGGGAACCCAATTTAGCCAGCTAGGTTTATAAAGAAATTCAAAGCATTTGAGTCCTAAACTTTTGTTTGTTTTGATTCATTGAGATCAAGTTGTCAATTCAAAGAAAAATAACAGTGGCTGGTGGAAATCTGAAATAAAAAACAAAAAGCTGAAAAATGCAGCAGATTAATCAGCATCTAAGAAGAGAAAAGGGAAAAAGTTCTCCTCTATACGCTTTATCAGAACTGCAAACCAAAAGATAAGCAAGTTTTGTTAATAAAATTGAGGCAAGGATAGAAACAAATTAGAAGCTTTGTCTCTGTATCAGAAGATTATGAGTTCCAGCCCCATCATGAGAACATAATTTAGGCTTTAATGTAAGTTCAGTACTAAGGAGGTTCTGCATTGTCAGAGATGCCTTCCTTCAGGTTCGATAGTCTGCAAATTGTTTCATGTTAGATTAAATGAAAGATTGTGTCAGTTAGACAAAAGAAGGATGCATTATATTCCATATGATCATCAAGCTTTTCTTAAAATTAAGCAGTCTGCTCATTGTGCTTCCCATTAAATTCTTCTTTGTGGTTAGAGTATTTGTTGGCACAATTTTTGTGGTCAGGAGCAGAAAAACAACAGCATTCACCACTGACCTCAAAGAAATCTTCCCTAGTGACATCAGTGGCATGGACTTTCCCTTTTCCAATGTCAATTTGAACCTGGTGCCAAGCCAGAGGAACTTCCATTTGTCCAGCAAGACCGAAACTATCAAACAGTGCAAGTGGCCAGTAACGTATGTAGTCTTCTCAAAGATAGCAAATCAGAAAGTAATATGCATTGATTTTTGTTCACTTTTCAGTCAAAATTTAGACAAGTATGATGAATGATAGTGGCATCGCGATAAAAATATCATACAAACATGCCCAGATTTTGTATGAGTAAATACTGTGCTGAAACTAATAGCATCTTATGGAGTCCACAAATATGCACTTAATGTGGGAATTTAGAGTTTCCTAGATACAGGAGTTGTCTCTCTGGCATGGAAAATTGCACATGTCACTCCACTTTTTAAGAAGAGTGAATCAGGAAACAAGGGAATTACAGACCAGTTAGCCTAACATCTGTGGTGGGGATATTGTTGGAGTCTGTAATCAAGGATCGGTGTAACTGAACACCTCAAATTTTCAGTTAATCAGGAAGAGCCAGGGGATGCATGCCTGACAAATCTCATTGCTTTTTTTTAAGTGGTGCCTAACATATATTAAACAGGGACATGTCTATGTTTATTGCTTAAGTGGACTTGCATAGGCATTTGATAAAGTCCCATGTAAGAGACTGTTAACCATAGTAGAACCCAGAATTGAGGGTCAATTACTGACATAGCTGGGAAATTGGTGAGAGGCAGGTAACACAAAATAGGGATAATGGGTAGGTACTTAAATTGGCAGCATGTGACCAGTGGTGTCCAACAACGATCTACGGTAGGGCCTCCAATTATTCATGGGTAATGGCGTAGAAAGTCACATATCCAAATCTACTAATGACATAAAGTTAGATAGCATTGTAGACAGTGTAGATGATAGCATACAATTACAAAGAGATATTGGTAGACTAGGTCAATGGGTAAAAGTATGGCAGATGGAGTTCAATGTAAGCAAGTGTGAGGTTAATCATTTTGGATTGAATAAGGATAGATCAGGGTACTTTAGGTCTTTAAAATGCCAAAAACAGGTGAAGAAAGTAATCAGAAAGCTAACAGAATGCTGGCCTTTGTATCTAGGGGACTGGAGCATGATCTAATCAAACTCTTCAAGATATTAACAGGAGAAGATAGGGTAGATGAAGATAAACTATTTTCACCAGTTAGGGATTCTGGGGGGCATATTCTAAAACAATAGGACCAGAATGTTCAGGAGATATGTTAGGAAGCACTTCTACACACAGGCTGGTAGAGGTTCTCATCCACAAATGGCTGTTGATCCTGGATCTGTTGTTTAGTATTAATTCTGAGATAGATGATTTTTTGTGAAGCAAAGGTCTTAGGGGATATGGGCAAAAGGCAGGGTATGTGATGTTAGGCCACAGATCAGCCATGATCTGTTAAATGGAGGAACAGGCTCAAGGACCTGAATATCCTACTCCTGTTCCTATGTTCCTCCACAATCCAGAAAGTTCTATCAGTGATACTGTTTCTCCAGAGAGTGTGCTGTTCAGGACCCTAGAATACAAGCAATTCAAAATCATTGAACTGAAAAGAACAGCTGCTGTTACACTAGTAGTCTCACTATAAAAACTCTTGAAAAGGTTGCAACTCATTTACTGAAAGTTTTTTTAACAGCACACTATCATCAGAATTACAGCTAAACCCACCAAAACGCTGAAAGAGGTAATTTTATGTCATTCATTATGTCATTATGATAAAACATTTTCCCTTAAGTAAACTTCATTAAAATGTTTTAATAGTAGTTTAGCTTCAACTTTAATCTGATCTTTCAACCATTTATTTCACAGTATGTCTTAAAAATGATGAGGTTCAGTCTTCTTAGTTTTTTTTGTTCATGCGAGTACTTAAGTGTGATCAGTGGCTTATCCTGTTTGACGATACCGCTGCAACTAGACTTGGCTCCAGGCTCAAACTGACACCAGTAAAGGGGAGATATGTGTCACAGGTATCACTGTATCTTTGTAAGCAATTTTCTTTTGAGGTCAGCAAGTCTCCTTTCTTCACTGTTGACTGTAAAACCCAGCCCATTATTTTAAAAGTATGAATTTCACCTTGTAACAGAAATATGTAGACTTTGCGCAGATGTTAAATTAATTATCCAGGACTAGTGAGGCCGTTCAAAAGTAAACATCAAATGAATGCCCTTAAAATCTCACTAACATGCCATTCAACATAATGTAACATTTTCAAGGGTTTTACAGTGAGATTGGCAGCATAAAAAGGCAAGTTCCTATCATTTCAATGATTTCTACACTTGCAGTCTAGAGGGAACTCAACATTGCACCCTATATGGTAATATAGAATCATTGATGGCAATTTATGGATTACCAGTGTTGACTGTTCACACCTGGACTTCAGACATTGCTGTTAGTTCTCGAGAAGTAATAATGAAAATGCTAACAGTTTTGCCATCATTAATTACAGCCATAAATCCAGGCTGACTCTTTGCCACTACTATCAGTGGTAAGTTCTTGGTTATCTTCAGCTTTGAAGTTCTGATGAAGTGTATGAACTTTCAATAGATTCTGATTGATTCACTGTATGTAACCAGCAGTTTCTGTTCTTTTGCCATAGTTTCAATGTTTTCTTTTCAGGTACTATGTGCACAAAACCAGAAAGTCATTTTCAGGCTTTTAAAATTGCTTTCTTTTAAATTTATTACAGAAAGTTCGCCTGTCTTCAGATCCTCCCCAGTATCTAATATTGATGGCCAGGGGAAAGAAAGATTTAGAGGTACAGTATTCCTGTCAGCTTGGCTCAGTTGGTAGCATCCTTGCCTCTGAGTCAGAAGGTTGTGGGTTCAAGCCCCACCCCAGGACTTGAGAACATGATCTGGGCTGACACTTTAGTGCAGTACTGAGGGAGTGCTGCATTGTCGAAGATGCAGTCCTTCATATTCAATATTAAATGAAGCCCCATCAGCTGCTCAGTGTGGTTCTGTTAGATACTAAAAGTAGCATGGTACTATTCAAGAAGAGCAGGGAGTTCACATGGTGTTCTAACCAATATTCCTCACTCGACCAACACCACCAAACTCGCTGGTTCATCATTCATACTGCTGCTGTTTGTGGGTCCTTGTGTGCAAAATGTTTGCTTTGTATGGCTGTATACATCTGTGTAACAATGGTGACTTCCATTTGTTGCATAGGAAGTACTTTAGGAGGTTTGAGTGTTTGATAAACCATTACATGCACATTAGTTCTATCTCCAACCACTTAGATAAAATGGTAAACCAAAGTAGGGTAATGCTCTTCAGAAAATCTATTTTTGCTCAACTATTATTTGGACAAAGTGAAGCAATGAAAAATGCTTTCGTTTCTGCTCTGGGATCTGGCTTCCAATCAAGTGCAAGTTAGCAGGGTGAAGCCCTCTTCTCCTTGCTTTCGTGTGAAACAAGTGGAGAACCTTTGTTGATGAGCCACAGGGCTACAGCTCTAGACTGTTCAAATTGACAAATTTAGCAAAAGAATTGTACAATTGTTTGGTGTGTAAATGACAAAAATTCACATTGGTGCTTTTTGGGATTTAGGCCCATTATTTTAGAGGAAAGGTGCTATTTAACATTGGTTGAATTATGGTTGACCTTGGAATATTTGCTGCCAATGAAACCCAATTCTGTGAGTGTGCACCACATTCTGACACCCTGCCAGAAAGCAGCCTGTCCTCAGAAAATTTATCCCTGACAACCAACACGGAGATTCAGAACATTTATTGTGATGAACAGGAGAGTAAAATCACCAAAACATAGGAAACAATTGTTGGAGAACCAATCGTTATTTTTCAATCACCTGTGCATCATCGCTTTGTGTAAGCAAAGTGATAATGGATTAAAACTATTCATATAAATTAGCATTAATAAGAAAAAAATTTACATGTACCTGCTGAAAGCAATCAGAATTTCAGAAGAAAAGTGAGATAACCTAAAAACTGACCTTAAAAATGATCTTGTTGACAAAAAAATCTTCTGATAAATGTTAGAAAAGTCATAACCCAATTTAGACGATATGATCTGTATCCTTGATTTCATAGAATGATCACAATGCGGAAGGAGACCGTTTAACCCATTGGACGGAATCTTATAGGGGTCTGAGCAATGTGGGCTATGGTGAGATGTGTGGCAGAATCAGATGACAAGTGTTTCAAGGCACATCTTGACATCACAATCATGTTGTTCTATTTTGTTAGATATTTTTAAACAACCTGTTTAGATATGTTATGGCACGACTCTGCAGCAGGAGGGACTTGAACCTGGGACTCTTGGCTCAAAGGTAGTAACACTACCAGTGCATCACAAAAGCCCCTCACTTCATCTTTTATGCTTTCCATGAGCAGCGTGGCATGATTCTCCCTGGGCAGCAGCCAGATGTCAATTAACAAGGATTACAGTTTGTTAAAAGCCTTGTTCATGGCACAACTCACATAATTCATATACAGACTCCCATCTTGACAAACTTGCTAAACAAGCTAGGCATTGGGAAAACTAGACAAGGTTAAAAAAAAACAGCAATCTGGAGAATTCAGATCTCCACTTGTTCTGAGTGTAGGAAACATTGGCACCAGCCTCACACGCTCCACATCTGTGGACATTGACAATCAACATGTGCCAGGATCTAAAAACCTTCATGGCACATGTCCAATATATTTACTTGACACTTCTGCACTGCAGTGCTGCACTGGTGACTATCACTGCGATGCTGCTAAAACAATACTGTGTACTTAAGGACACCCATCCAACAAATGAACTGGATCAAGTTGCATCTCTGAGCTCTTCATTTGTTATCGTAGCATATACTCAATTTGATGCTTTAACTCCTTATCTTGAGTTATTTTTCCCTTTTAATGCTTTGCCCCTCAACCAGAGATATGACGTTCATTATTACTTTTGTCTTGCTGTGCCTCAAGTGAATGGCATCCTCTGATACCAGTCCAAGCCTAGCTTGAGGTAATCACAATCAAGATCCTCTCCTCAACCAAATGACAGGCAACACACCACCAGTCTTAACTCTTTCTGTCCTACTGTGGGCTGGATGGCTTCAGGAATGATAAAGAAGCAGGTATTGCGGCAAATGAAAATAGATGGCACAGCTGTTACTATTAGTGAACATGAGGAAGTTTAACAAATGAGTGAATGGACAGTGCAGAAGAAATTCAGGGTCAGTGATGACAAGGGTTGGTGGAGTGGTGGTGACAGCAATTGGGAAGATGTTGCAGGCAACAGTGAGAGTATTAGACCATGAGTCTGGTGGGAGATGGGTACAGTAGCTGTGTGTGTATATCAGAGAGAAGATGGTGGAACTTAGGCTGGTGGATTGGAGAAGCACATTGACCATCTTCCTACACTGTTGTGCATTCCCTCAGATGGCTGAAACTGCTTGGATGGCAACCTGGGACCAGGCTGGCATGGTCTGGTGCCATAGACTGCACTGGTCCTGTGGGAAGAGGAAGTCCCACATTAACACATCCCATCCAGCAGGACCTTCAGGACCCTGCCAGCAAAGCAAGGCACCAATTTCCTTGTGTCTCCAAGTCCAGGGCAAATATCAGCAAACTGTTTGAATGTTCAAACGGCTTTTAAAGATGGCGTGAGCTCAAGAAATGCTGGTGAATTCCTCAATATTTGGGAGTAGCGAGTTGTTCCAGGAGCGGTGTGTTGTAAGATGGAGTGGAAATCAGACATGAGAGACATGAGGATAGTTAATTGATGAAAAAGTTTGGTGAGATACTGTTAGAACTTGATAGGCCTTGCTGTGACAAACCCTCCAAGAAACACCATGCAAGTCAGACTTAGCTTACAAAAATATAATATTCAACCCTGATCCAGATTAGTTTACAATTTTCTCAAGTGTTCACTGATATCATTTATGTGTGGAGCCAGAGGAAATGGGTGCGGTATTAAATGAGTACTTTGTGTCAGTATTCACCATAGAGAAAGACTTGGTGGATGATGAGTGTGGGGAAGGATGTGTAGATAGTTTGGGTCATGTTGAGATCAAAAGGGAGGAAGTATGGGGGTCTTGAAAAACATTAAGGTAGACAAGTCCCCAGGGCCTGATGGGATATACCCCAGAATACTGAGAGAGGCAAGGGAGAAAATTGCTGGGGCCTTGAGGGAAATCTTTGTATCCTCACTGGCTAGAGGGCAGGTCCCAGAGGATTGGAGAACAGCCAATGTTGTTCCTTTGTTTAAGAAAGGTGGCAAGGATAATCCAGTTAATTACAGGCCAGTAAACCTTACGTCAGTGGTAGGGAAATTATTGGAGAGGATTCTTTGAGACAGGATTTACTCCCACTTGGAAATATGTGGGCGTATTAGCGAAAGGCAACATGGTTTTGTGAAGGGAGGTCGCGTCTCACTAACTTGGTCGAGTTTTTTGAGGAAGTGACAAAGATGATCGATGAGGGTAGGGCAGTGGATGTTGTCTACATCGACTTCAGTAAGGCCTTTGACAAGGTCCCTCATGGCAGGCTGACACAGAAGGTAAAGTCGCACGGGGTCAGAAATGAGCTTGCAAAATGGATAAAAACTGGCTCGTTAATAGAAAGCAGAGGGTAGCAGTGAAAGGGTGTGTTTCTGAATGGTGGGCTGTGACTAGTGGCGTTCCTCAGGGATCAGTGTTGGGACCTTTGCTGTTTGTGATATATATAAATGATTTGGAGGAGAGTGCAACTGGTCTGATCAGTAAGTTTGCCGATGACACAAAGGTTTGTGGAATTGCAGATAGCGATGAGGACCGTCAAAGGATACAGCTAGATATAGATTGGTTGGTGACTTGGGCAGAGAGATGGCAGATAATGTTTAATCCGGAAAAATGTAAGGTAATGCATTTCGGAAGGTCTAATCCAGACGGAAAATATACAGTAAATGGCAGAACCCTTAAGAGTACTGATAGGCAGAGGGATCTGGGTGTACAGGTACACAGGTCACTGAAAGTGGCAATGCAGGTAGAAAAAGTAGTCAACAAGGGATATGGCATGCTTGCCTTCATTGGCCGGGGCATTGTGTTTAAAAATTGGCAGGTAATATTGCAGCTTTATGGAACCTTAGTTAGGCTGCATTTGAAATATTATGTTCAATTTTGGTTGCCACACTACCAGAAGGAGGTGGTGGCTTTGGAGAGGGTACAGAAAAGATTTACCAGGATGTTGCCTGGTATGGAGGGCATTAGCTATGAGGAGAGGTTGGAGAAACTTGGGTTGTTCTTGCTGGAATGACGGAGGTTGAGGGGCGACCTGATAGAGGTCTACAAGATTATGAAGGGCATGGACAGAGTGGACACGCAGAAGCTTTTTCCCAAGGTGGAAGTTACCAGGGGCCATGGGTTTAAGGTGTGAGGGGTAAGGTTTAAAGGTGATGTATGAGGCAAGTTTTTTGCACAGAGAATGGTGGGTGCCTGGGACTCGCTGCCAGGGGACGTATTGGAAGCAGATACTACAGTGACTTTTAAAGGGCGTCTTGACAAATACTTGAATAGGATAGGAATAGAGGGATACGGTCCCCAGAAGGGTAGGGGATTTTATTTGAGACGGGCAGCATGTTGGTGCAGGCTTTGGAGGGCTGAAGGACCTGTTCCTGAGCTGTAATTTTGTTTGTTCTGTCATCGTGTATTATGAACTCTGGAAGTTTATCCACAACAAGTTAAGCTTCTTTACCGCATAGTTTCTTTCCTTGTCCATATCTCATTTCTTAATTGGACTTGTGGCATATTTCCTCATCCAGTTTTTTTCTTTGAAAT